TTTTATCCGCTTTAGGTCACTTTCAAAAGGTTGCTCTTCTGAGGGCTTTTTCATGCCCACCTCATTTAATAGGTGGATTTTCAATATTCAGTTGCTGGCTAAACAAGTGGCTTGGAATGAGCAAAGATAAGGAGGAGGTAAAGGAACACCCTGTCTGCTTGCACCAGGGCTGGTTTTGGTAGAATAGTTCATGTAACCATGTGCAACTCTGAACAATGTAGCCTGAATATTTATAGCTTGGTCTTTTTGACCTAGAGGCACTACTAGTGGACTTTTAACTTGGAGTTCATGTGGAGTGTATTTTTTCACGTCCTAGTGTGCAGGGAAGGTGGGAATTATTGATCCCTAGCCCTGTAATGGTTTCTCCTCTCCCTCTCCCCCTCCCCTTCCCCTTCCCTCTCTCCTCTCTTCTTTTTTTTTCTTTATTTTTTTTTTTCCCTCTGGCTAATTTTTCTGGACAAACAGTGTCTCCTTCCTTTTTATCTGAACTGGCCAAGGTAGAATCCTATTTTACTACTATGAGTTTTTTAGTGTGTCCCAGAAGTTCTCTTCCTTTTTATGTAAACCTGTTTTTCAGTGGAATAATATTTTGGGGAGATGGACTACAAAGGTGCATCTGTGTCATATTAGGAACTTGTCTTGTTGTCCCTGTTGCTCCTTGCTTTCCATCCACTCCACCCCTACTATCTGTTTATCAGCAAACAAGCTATGCTGAAATTTTTTAAACTTCTGTAGTAAGATTGTAATTTATTTTAATAGTACTTATTTTCTTCACCTTTTCCCTCCAGGTCCAGTTTATTATGATTACAGTCCATATAGGACAAATCTACATCATGGATGATTGTCCGTACCAGTATCCAATTTTCATGTTTATTATCTGGCTTTATGGCTCCATGTTTTTAGTCTTGTTTCTCCACTTCTGGTACCATGCTTACACGAAGGGACAAAGACTGCCAAAAATGGCAAGAAATGGCATCAGCAAAGATCAGTGAAACAAATTCTTGTCTCTAAAACCAAAGAAGTGTATATGTCAAAGGGGAAACTTGCACTACTTGACAATCAAGATGTTTAGGTGCGCACACTACATGGTGTATATTTTGTATGTTTTCTTCCAAAACAGAATTTGTATTTTTACCGTAAGTTATTTGGGATTCAGAACATGGGAGTGGGGAAGAACTGTGGATCTCTGATTAAAAAAGAATGAGATCTCTGTCTAGAAAATGCACAAAAATAAAGATAATTGGAAAAACTACAATGTGTATGACAAGTACTGAGTACTTTGAACACACTTTGAGGGGGATAAAAAATACTTCACTTTAAATGTTGTAAGTTGTTAAGACTGTCAGCTGCATTTTATTATAAGAATGATTCTTCAGTAAGTACTGTTTATAGAATCTAAGACATATTAATATAGTTAATGCATAAACATTGTTACATCCGTTTATAAACTATTACTTTAAAGGAAGGATTGTATGTTAATCTGTCAAGACATAGCGTTTCATCTGAAGATCACAGATTTTTGGATATACTGTCTTTTACTAGGAGAACTGAATTCATTTCATGTTCTACTCAGTTGAACATTATCATAAATGTTGGAAAGCTACTAATATGGGGATTATCTGAATTGTCTTGTAGCATAGTGATCAAAACATCTTATTGATTTGTTCACTGGAGTAGCCAAATATTCTTATTATTCAATGTGTCTATGGATATACTTTAAATTGCTAGCCTGTGCTTTTTGTGAAGTGGGGCTAGGAGGATTATGGAATCTTTTAATTCAATAGCCAAAATCTTAGTAGTCAAATAAAATGTAAAAAAAAATTGATTTAATGATTTAAGCTGAAATATTGCCTACCATGATTGTACTGTGCTCTACTTTCTTTCATTTCCATTATCTATTGAAATACATGTCTAGAAAGAGTTTGTGTCATCTTGTTTTTTTTACTATGGTGGCTTGTTTTTTATCAGCTCAAGGTTAAAGTTACTCCAGTTACCTTGTCTGGAACCAGGCAAAAAAGTACGTGACATTCTCTGAGCTTCTGAAAGTGGGGCAGGCAGTGGTGACTGGGAATTCCGTGTGACTCCATTCTGTGTAGAATTACCCAGTATGTTGTTTTCCAAGGTTAGGCAGATTGTTAGGGTCACATTTGTGTAGAAATCAAAGGAACTTGCTATTTGTAAGTTGTGTTTGTACTGCATGGATTTATTAAGGAATTGGTGCATGCAACAGACCTGGAAATGAGGAATTAAATGTATTTAGAGTAACGTTACCATTAAAGGTACTGTTTTCTACAACACTAGAAAAAAGAAACTTGCAATATTTACTTTTTATTTTATCTGATCTGTGGGATTTTCAAATACTCAAGACTTTGAGGCAGATTTTAATAGCCTTCATGTTGCCTAATTCTAAGAGCATAAGCTTTGTTACCTGAACACTTTCATTTTACTGACATTTATGCAGTAAACACTAAAGTAATGTAAACTTTAGGTTGGACATAAGTTGCAAATGTTTTCTTTTGAGATTACATCAAGTTTTTTAAAGCAAATGAAAAACAACTTATATTTTATCTATTCATTATTTAACTCCTGCAGCTGTCAGCTCTCATGGCAGCTTGAAAGTAAATCTCAGAAAGTATTGAGATGACTTGAGATTTAAATTGCAGCCCCTGAATTTTAGATGCTTGATCTTCAATCATCAGTGTTCACTTCCCAGCAGTACACATGGAGAGGTGCTCTATCCCATGAATTGCATGATCCTAAACAGCTGCAATGCTGATCAGGGACCACATCTCTTTTTGGTGGGAAATGCAGTCCATCACCGACTCAAAGTCTCAAGTCCAGCCAGCTCTGGCCTGTATGTATGTCCCTGGCCTCCAGTGTTAGTGGGGCTTTCCTTAAGGACAGAGACCTATTGCTGTTTTTTTCAAATAGCAGGAAAGGATTTGCCAGTTTTAGATGTTTTCTTTTTTTTTAATGCATATAATATTTATTACATAAGTAATGATGAAGGAAGTGGGACATTACTGATTAAGGAAGTGGGACAGTTTGGTTGTTTTAGGCCTTCTTGAGCCTGTGCATTCAAATGTGTTTGGGAAATGCAGGCCTTATGAGGGAAAGGCTGTAATAGCTAGTCTGTAGTGAAAACTGGATAATAGTACCCTCTGCTTCTTGTGCAAGGATGCAGGCATTGCTCTGTAGCCTTGCAGCTGATTTCTGTGCTGGTAGAGAAAGTCCCAGTTCTGGTCTCTGATTTTGCAATCATACCTCCTTCCCTGCCCGTACATGAGGATGGAGAAATGCATCCTGCAGCTGGGTGTGAAGGGACTTGTTTGTTGATTTAGGAGCTAGATCTGCAACTGATTTTTTCGAACTCACTTGGGCTTAACTAGGAGCTGAGACTATGCACAATCAAAACTAAGGAGTGCTGCATGTGGACAGGTGCTGAACAGAAAGGAGCCAGGAAAGCTTTCAATTCCAGCAGCTGCACACTAGCCAAAGGCTTCCAGAGTCAGTTGTTTGAGATTAAGAACTAATAAGCAGGGGCAGAAACTGGAGATGCTAATAATTCTGTGGGCTGTCAGCAAGTGCTGTGTCAGATTGCCACTGCATAATATCTTGCACAGTGGTTTAGTCTTCTGGGAGTTACAAAGCATTTGGAGAGAGAGAAAGCAGTGTTTCACAGTGAATTGTATGGATGCAGCCTGAAAAGATGCGTATACTGTAACTGTGCCAATGACATCAGCTCAAAACAAATCCTGTCCTCCTACACACAGTGAGAGAATCACACAATCAGTCTTTATCTGAACATAAAAACTGTGCATCTCACATTCTTAAGTGTATACTTTTGAGCAAGGCTAGAAAGAGGAGTCCAGCAGTCAGTCATCCATGTTATGGTGAATGTTTACTGACAGTGAGGGGAATATGGCTAAAATTTTGTTTTCCTTAGACCTGGTGGGTAAGAAACACTGGTGTTACCAGCCACTCCTCTCCTGTGAGAGTCCTAAAAATTGACAGAGATAGCTCATTTGTAATAGGTACCAGAGGAGTTTCAGCTACATCTCTGCCCCTGCGGGATAGGTGACTTGGTATCAAAATCTCCTACCTTAAAATGGTGGTTTCCTATTTACTTTCCAAATCACCCTTTCTTTAAAATACACGTAAAGAGCTAATACACAACAACTTAATGAGTTCTGTGGCACCAGCATCAACCCCTGTCTTCTGTAGGAATAATATCAAATATAATTGCAAGTAATTATCATCCCACACACTGCCTGAATCAAAACAAAATTCCGTAATAAAAAAACCTGATTGGAAACAATTTTAAAATATTGAAAATTGAGTATTTGGAGGTGGTTTTTTTTTGGTTGTTTTTTGTTTTGTTGGTTCAATTAATGCCAAGGCTGTGTTCTCTTTATCAGGGCAGCAATACACTGGCTGATGTTTTCCTGACATTGGTTTGTTGCCACATACAGAATCGCCAGATGGGCCAGGTTGGAGGGAACTACAGCAGGTCACCTGGTCCAGCCTACCTACTCGAGCAGGGCCATCCCCGAGCACAGCACTGGCACAGGATTGAGCCCGGATGGTTCTGGAATCTCCCCGTGAGGGAGGCTCCAGAACGTCTCTGGGAAATCTGTTCCAGCGCACAGTACCCACACAGCAAACAAGCTCCTCCTCACGTTCATGGGGAACTCCCGGTGCATCGGTTTTCTGGCCGCTGTCTCTCGTCCTACTGCTGGGCACCGCCGCGCAGAGCCCGGCAGAGCCCTGGGGCCCCGGGGGACGCTTGCCCAGACGGCCGCTCAGCCTGCTCACACGGCCACTGAGTCCCACACCGCCATGAGCCCCGGCACGGCCACTCAGCCTGCCCACAGGGCCGCTGAGCACTCACACGGCCTCTGAGCCCCGGCACGGCCGCTCAGCCCTCACACGGCCGCTGAGCTCCGGCACGGCCCCTCAGCCCCCACAGCGCTGGGATTCAAACGCGGCGCGGAGCCGGCGCGGCGGCGCCCATGGAGCCGCGGCTGGTGGGGCCCGGGCCGTACCGCGCCACCCGCCTGGTGAGTGCCCCCGCCCACCCGGGCACCGCCGCCCTCCCGTGCCTCTGCTCCGGGCGGCCCTCGGCTCTCCTGGTGCTGGCGGTGCTCCCAAAGCAGAGCCCGGCCGGGCGGAGCGGCAGGTCGAGCCTTTTGTCCCGGTAAAACCCAAGGGAGGCCAGAGCCGTACCCGTGGGTCCGCAGGTAGTATGGGGCTCTGAATATTTCAGTCTCCTAAACCTGGTGTTTGTTCTCGGGTCTCGACAGTTTTAATCCTGGGCTTAGGTTTCGGGTCTCTTGTGAACGCAGACGTGAGAAAAGGGTGTAGTTCTGCTTGCAGAGCTGGCTGCGTTCTGTCCGCAGGAAAACCTGGGAGAAGAGCTCCCGTAATGATTTGCTTTGTTCTTTCCCAGTGGAACGAGATAATCGAGCTCTTCCGTGCTGGGATGCCCGTGCGGAAGCATCGCTGTCGTTTCAAGAGCTACGAGCGATGCTTCAAGGCCTCGGAGGCAGTGGAATGTTTGCATGAGCTACTTGGCTCTAACCAAAACTTCGGCCCAGAAGTGACACGCGATCAAACGGTTAAGCTGCTCAAAAAATTCCTTAAAAATCATGTAATCGAAGATATTAAAGGAAGGTGGGGCAAAGAGGACTTTGAAGACAATGGCCATTTATATCGGTAAGCCTGCACAAGGTGATTAAAAAAAATGTTTATTTGGAAACAGGGTATAATAATTCTTGCTCATGTCTTACAAGTGTTTTTGTAGAATGCCTCTGAAAAGTGTTGACGTGTTTTCCTCTTTTCCTTTTAAGGACTTCAATTTTCTTAGTAACGGGTAGCTGCCACGACTTACTATTTGATTTCAGTTCTCTTGTGAGTTTTGAAATATTTTTGAAAGTCACTTTTATTCAGTCACATTTTTTGAATATCAACAAAAGCTTTTGCAGCTTTCACATGGTATCGAGTTCTCATTGCTGATGGCAGACATCAGGTTTGTTGTTGCTGGAAGAGTACATATTAAGACACGCAGGTGGAAGTGAGAATTCCACTGGTCATCCAGCTCCAATTATCCTCCTTCACCCCGACCCCTTGACTCTTTTGATTGCTGTCCACTTCTTCTGAGAGAAGAGAAAAGAAAGGCCTTCTGAATTGAAGATATTTATGATGTAACCTTTTTTTATGCACCTTGGTTTATAGATGGGCAAGGGACAAAGCTTTATTTGTTTATCCTCAAGGATCGTTGCTTACTTATTCCTGTTGAACATCTCAGCTGATGGTTTGTTAACAGAGAAGAGACTCCTTTCTAATAAGGGCTTAGCATTGCTGGACTGGATTCTGTGACCTCAGTTAAGGTTTGAGTGGACAGAAGTTGCAGATTCTGAATTTGTACCGTCTTGTCCTGTTTGGTGCAGAAGTATTATAAAGATGACTCTTCCTTCAAGTTCTAGATTTGTAACTTTTATCATTGTTAGTCTTCTTTTGAGGAAATGGGAGTTCTCATCATGCAAAACATTAGGGAAAATAGGCTAGCAATAAGTTTATTCTTCTACTTATTGTAGCTATTATTATGTACTTAAATTTTACATATTCATTTTTAAGTAATGATTTCATAATATTCTCTTTGGGGAAATAGATGATACTGAATTCCCACTTGATATATATTAAGTCAATTTTTTATTTTGCTGTATTGATCTTTTTATTTCTGGGCATTAATTATTGTCAAAAGATTTAATCTGGGGTTTGATAACTGCTGGTGTTATTCTATATTTCTTTGGTTTGGTTTTGTTGTGTTTGTGTGGCTGTGGGGTTTTAAGTTTATTTTGCATTAGCATGAGTATATATTCAAATTATTCTGTTCTTTTGTTTATTTGTTTTTTCAGTCATGACTTTACTAAGCTGCAGGCTATGGAAGTTGGCTGGGTTAAATATTTCTGTTCTAATTTTCTGTGTGGTCGGCCTACTGATCTGCTATTGGACAACAGAACTCTTGTTATATATTTTGTTGTGATGTTCTTCTCCCCCTCTCCCTGAAAAAATAGCTAAGTCAGTAACTGAACTTTTTTCAGTTAAACATGCATACCATTCATGTATCTTGAGCTGGAGCCGACTTTTTTCCTCACTGGGCTTGGTGCTTGGTGCATAAATAAGCTATATACATTACTCGTGGCTTTAAGTGTCAAAACCTGCTGCTCTCCTGTTTAAGTAGCTAAACGCTCGTTTTCCAGCCTGTTTTAGTCATGTATTCAATGTCCTGGCAGCTCCCTCTGGTGGACTATCCTAATGCTACATGTAAAATACTTTTTTTTCTCCTCACAGTGCTGATAGAGGTAGTGGTACGTGTCTATTCTATTGACATTGCTTACTTTGGAAATACTTACATGCTTCATATCTTCTGCATAAATGTATGTGTTAGCATGCTGTAAAGACACGCTGTGGTACAGAGTTGTGTCACTCATTTACTTCACATGTAAGTGTAGCTGTGTGCTCTTGTTTGTCCACAGAGTATGCAAAAGAAATATTGCCAAGAGTTGGATTGCGTGAGAGTATTTGGCAAGTATTAAATGTGAAGATGAGCTCTAATGTGACATCTAAAAATAGCAAAGACTTATCAGTGTGTCCTGACTCACTGGCTCAGCTGGGTCCACAATAATGAATGAGAAGTTACAGTTTTGGAAGCTTTTGGGCTTTATTTTTTTTCCCCCCGAATCTAAGCCATTCTATCAAAAGCAAAAGGGTTAGCACTCTTGCAATGATAGCAATCTTTTGGGAATTCAGCAGTAATATTGTTATATCATGGACATCACTCTTAGTTGACCTTATTCTGGACACAAGCAGGTATCTCTAGTTCCTCTTTTTATAAACTCCCCAAACTAGTCTTGCTGGCTATAACCAATTCTGGTCTCGATGTCTCAGCCTTGGAGTGCTTCTCCGTCCTTTGCTTTGAGTGACATTAATCCTTTACCATCTAGATCTTGCTGTAATGCTACCTGGGAAAGGGGAATGCATCTCCTTTTGCTGCCTGTAAGAACTTAGACTTTTACTGGCTGGTTGCAAATCAGGGCAGCAAATGACACAAAGCTAAAATTTGTGAAGAACTGGAGAAGAAGCAGAAAACTACTAAGAACAGTGTAAGGCAAAGGAAAAAGGCTGCAGATATGTGGGTGTGTTCTATTTTAACATTAAACTCTTAAGAAATAATGAATATCTGAAAAATGGTTGAGAACACTCAAGAGCTGAACATCTGCCATGTAGTCTGGCTTACCATTAAAAAACAGAGTAAATCTTGCAGGATTAGAATGAGGTGCTTGCTGCTGGTTCTGGGGGTTTGTCTGATGGAAGTGATATCTGTGCTGCAAATGTGCTGTTGAACAGCACTGTGGAATACGCTCAGTGTTTGGTTAAACACATTGATTGTTTTGACCACATTCGCTGTAACAGTTCTGACTAACCAAACTGCAGAACAAATCTAAATGAAAAACTTATTGAATGTTTGAAGTGCCTTTAGAGGACGGGATGACATTTTGGAGAAACTTGAGGATTTCTCAAGCGTTTTTTTCTGGTAGGATAGATATGCATGCTCTCCAGCAGTGTACAAGCTCTTGTTGAAAAGTCATGGACACATCTGTCTTTTACGTTCTGATTTAAAAGAGTTAATGAGGCTTAAGCAGTTTCTTAAAGCATCAGGAATCTCAGCATCTAAAATGTGGATGTGAAAGTGGACAGAGTTGGATCTGGTCCAGTATGAAGAGGCGTTTCCATCAAACTGATTTGTCTGTCTGATATGCTGTCATTAGTTCCTTTGTACATGTTCTGACCTAAGCTTAGCAATTATTTGATGCTGGTCAAGCTGGATAGTTTGTTTTCCTTCTTTTCTACAAGGGCTAGTTTAGGGCTTATTTCTGCTAATTTCTTCAAGACACTTCTTGAAATGCCTTAAGAAGTCAAATAGTTACCTGCAAAACCAACTGGAAAAAAGAACTTCAGGATGTGATCCAGAAAAGAACTGCAGGATATGATCTTCACACAGAAAGCGTGTAAACGCAGAAGAACCTGGTAATGTGGGCAAACCTTTGTGTGGACACTTGCATGCACTCTAACTAAAGCTGAGTGTTAGTCATGTGACTTAGCTATGTAGCTTTGCTTTAGGAAATGCATGCTAACTAAGCACTTGCCATGGGGAAAACATCCCCACGGCTTTTTCAGCAGAATCAGCATCTTCTAGAGAAGACCTATGTCATTGTCTATGCAAAGACAGCTGGTGCTGTATGAGACGCACTGGGATATCAGACATTCACCCAAGGCTCAGCTATGTCGTGGGAGGTACAAAGGACCTGAACTGTTCTGGAGCAGCAGCTGGAGGGCAAGCAAGACACTCCACGATGTTTTACATATCATGCAGCACCAGTCTACAGCAAACTAAGCTCGGCTGTGAATGTCCAAAGCATTTGTTCTATTTTTGCATGTGAAGGCTGACTACAGTTTTGCATTGGTAAATAGGGATTAGATTGGCATTCGGAGACTTTAAAAATGTTCTCTAATTGTAGATTTCCTCCTTCCTCACCACTGAAGTCATATCCAAAGAAACCTTCATGTGGAAAGGAAGTAATTAAATTTCCAGACTGGAGTGAACCAAGGGCTGGCCCTTCTCAAGAACACATTCCAGTGAAATCCGTCGCAATGGTAAGGCACCTTGTTTTATTTCCCCAGACAAAAACATATTTGGAAAGCAAAACTGAACTGATGACCTCTATGCTGGGTCACAAAATACTTGCTTATAAAATTAAATGCTAAAATACTTTTATTCTAAACTTTTGTGAAATTAAGTTTTTCTTAGAATTTGCTGGAGAAGTAATATTTTAGTGTTCTTTGTACTACACATTGCAATGTCCTGAGCAATCTGAGTTTCACATGAGTGTATTTTCCTATACTTAATTCCAGTTTGCTCAAATTCCAATAGGGCATTTTACCAGACAAAATAGTCACACTGTAACTCTTATTTGGACACTTCAGATATGGGAATATATACAGTTATTACAGCCTTCCTAGCTGCTCTAAGGCTGTTACTGACTTAGTTTCCTTTTTTATAAGGAATATGTTTTGGCTAAGGAGAGGTGGGCCTGATTTTTCAGTTATCCTTTGTAAGCTTGGAAAATCATCCTGCCCCTTACTTATCTGTATTGATCCAGATTTTGATTTGTAAAGCTGTTGAAAAAACTTGCTTTTATTAGTAAACCAAAATTGTATCAACTCTGTTCACCCAGCCATAGTAAAAGACTAGGCTTCTAGAATTTTGTGTATTCTAAGCTCTTCCTTCAGTGTATCTTACATATGTGCATTCTCATAATTTGTGAACTTAGGATTTCTTTGATTTTTGCCTTTTTATTACTGTCCTTCAGAGCAGGAGTCTGGCCTTAGATTTCTTGCTAAAACATTGTCTGTTTGGAAAAGTAGCTCCTATCATTTTGCTGGAAATTTAAATGTTCGGAATGAACAGTTATTCAATATTTACAATCCAATTGTATGCAAATCAAGTGTACTCTTCATGTACAGCAAGCTTCTGAAGAGGAAAGACATGGTCCTAAGGGCTTCAATATAGTAGGTAGAAGAAAAGATGGTGCCAAAGACAGGAAAAAAGAATGGAGTATTTTAGTTACTGAGCACGTATCTGTTGAAGGTGTAATATGTATGTAATATGTTGAAGGAGCCTCCAACTGTGCTCTAAATTTCCATCCTAGCATCCTGGCCTGATAAGAACTAGCAAAAGTCTGCCTCTGCATCTGACTCAGATGCAACAGCATAGTGTTTGGCATAGCTGAAAATCTCTTCCTTTGGATTGGATTAATAGAGTGATCTGTAAATGAGGCAAAGCTATAAGCTTCTTTCTGTTGCCTCTTTTATAATTAGGTCTAGCTCCCACTGGGATGCTGAATAGACAGCTGAAAATGGTGGTATCTTGAATTGCTTCAGCATCAATCTGAGCACTTAGTGGCTGTGCATGGATTGATGAGCATGGGTCTGTGTCATGAAATACTGATGTGAAAGGGACCCTTAATTTCAGAGAGTGCTATTTCCTTCCAACTAGCTCTAGTCTAGTCTGCCATGGAATGACAGACAATTAGTGCTTGGAGTATTTAAGTGCATTCCAGGAATGCATTTTGTGGTTTGGTTAAAAGGAATACTTTTAATGTGCTTTAGCACTGGTCTGTAGTGTAAATCAAAGAACTGGAATGATTAGGAGTTTTGTCTTACAAGCTGCAATGTATGTCCCATTGGTACTTTGATGACAGTGTTCAAGAATCAAGCTTGGTTGTTTTGCAGAAAAATAGTGGTCTTCTGCATTCTCAGCCTTATTTTCCACTTTTATAATGGTGGACTGGATCTGATGGGTCCCTTCAGATGTAGTGATTTGCTTTTACTTTCTTTATGTATAGACCCTGTAATTGAACTTAATGTTTAGTTATTTTAGTATGTGCTGAACAAGGATTTTTTTTCCTAATTCTTTGGCATCTCAAAATTCTCTGGTAACTTTTCCATAAACAGATGTTTAATCTTAAAATGGCAGATGAACTGATTTTAATCATGGATAGGACCTGAACACAGGATTAAAGGCCATTTACTCCTAAACTTTAATGGCTATTCTGACACACAATTTTTCAACTTTGGACAAGTTATGGAATTGAGAAAAGATATATGTGTAAGATTGAGAAAATGTTTCATTTCTCTTAAACACAAATATTTACCTTGCATCCTGAAGACTTCACTGGAATTTAAGAACACTTGCAATTCTGTACTATTAATGTTTTATGCTGTTTAACACTTGAAAAGCCACCAGTTAATGAGGAGAGCTTTTTCTGATTTCAGAACTCTGAGATGTGGTACAAGCGACACAGCATAGCTATCGGGGAAGTACCGGCATGCAAACTTGTGTTCCGCAGAGAGCTAACACAAACAAATATAGAAGAGATATGGAAATCCATGACTTTATCACGGTGAGTATACTTATGAGTCATTTGCTGTTATAGTAAAACTGTGTAGTAGGTAATGGTCTTGTCTGTCTTCTCTGGTAACACTTGTAATTTCACCCACCCACTTTTTATCGTTGTCTTCAAAGCCATAGTGTCTAGACAAACTCTACCACTTGTTATTTGGCTAACAAATTCAGCAAATAAAGTCTGCAAAAAAAACTTTACTGTGCTTAGTACCTTTTGACTTTTGTATGTTGTGTTATACAAATCTTTGTTGTGTGGGCTTTGTCTCGTTTAATCACTTTTTTTCTCTGTCTCTTTTTCCTGCTAAGAAATAAAAGCACTATGTAGAAGTGCTATGAAACCTTTCAATGGCAAGTACAATACTTTGTATGAGATAAATGGCATAGCTAATTGAGTGCTGAAGCTTTGAGATAAGCTTAGAGATTCATTTACTATATTCAAATGTAATCTCCTATGCAATGCTGAAGCTATTGCTTTGGACTATTTCTGCAGAGGAAAAATTAATATCCACTAGCTGATATTACAGCATAGTTGAGGTCTTACTTATGATGACTTTAGTGTGAACCCTAGGACATTATCTGCACATAATGTGCTTGGTGCTGGGATAAGCAGTTTTGGTGGCAGCATGATGGGCAGCAGAGGGCTTTAGTACATATGTATTCCTGGGTTTCCTGAACCAAGAAAACTTCAGGGGAATGGAGCCTCTGGTAGCCTGGAGCTCACATGGCAGCAGCTGATAGGACCTGGGCAAATGAGACTAGGAGCAGTGGTGTCCAAGCCCCTCCTTCACATGAAGGCCCCTACTGAGCTCTAGCAACCAAAAGACAAGGGTGGGAAAACAGGGTTGGGACAGCAGATTGTGTGAAAGGATGCTGAAACCCTGACAGCTTGATCAGGGAGCAGTAGCGTTCACATGACGGAAAGTCCTGGACTCTTAAAGTTTGATAATTGACATGAGGAATACCACAGCTCTGTGTTGGAAGAGTATGACTGTGGGAATGGGGAGACTCACAGCTGTGCCTGAATTTCTTTGAAACTTTCTACTCCAGTTGTATGTGCTTAAAGCTATGAAGCCCAATGGAATTCATCCCAGGGTACTGAAAGAGCTGGATGATATTATTGCAGAATCTCTCTCCTTTTTTTTTTTTTTTAATTTATCTTGGAAAGCTGGCAACTATTTTTTCAATTTTAAGAAAACAAAGAACAAAGACCCTGTTAATTACAGGCCTGTATCACTTCAGTGCCTGTAAAATTATGGAAAATTATTCTGGGAGTTAATAATAAAATATTTGAGAGACACGCAGTCATTGGTCATAGCCAGCACAGTTTCAGAAGGGGAAAATACTGTGCAATCAATTAAATTTTCTTTTATGACAAGATCACCCATCTAGTTGACCAGGAGAAGCCAGTTGATTTGGTTTATTTGCATTTAAGCAAAGCTTTTGGTACTGTCTCTCACAGTATCTTTCTAGATAAACTGTCCAGCATGCAGCTTGATGAGCCCATAATACTATTGGGTGAGCAGCTGGTTCTTGGGTTAAGCTTAAACAATTTTAGTAAATGCGGTTATCTCTGGTGAGCAGAGATCAGTGGGGGTCTGCAGGGCTCCATTCTAGGGCCAGTGCTCTTTCATGTTTTTGTAAATGATATGGATATGATATGGAGAAATTGAATGTACCTTCAGTTTGTCCATGATACTAGGTTACAAGGAACTTTGGACTCGTTCAAGGGTGGACAGGGGCGGCAGTGAGATCTGGATAGAGCAAAGAGCTGTACAGTCTCCAAAAGCTTTGGGAAAGCTGAGGGATACCCTCATTGCAGCCTACAATTTCTGGAGAGGGCAGTGGGGGGAGATGTGGAAGATGTCTGGTGACCAGCAATAGGACACAAGGAGATGGAATCAAGCAGCTGGGGAAATTCAGACTCCACACTGGGAAAATGTTCTTCACTCAGAGGGTGACTGGGCACTGGAACTGCCTCCCTGAGGAAGTAGTCACAGCACCAAACCTGACAGAATTCAAGGAGCATGTTGGCAGTGCTTTCAGTTATACAGTACAGTTTTAGGTATTAAAATTACTAAACCTTTTGTAGGTACTAAAACAAAAATTTTTTAGAGTTATGAAGATTGTGAAGGGTCTAGAAAGGAAGACATGAGGAGTAGTTGTGGTCTCCTGGCTTCTTTAACTTGGAGAAGAGGAGGCTGAGGGGACATTGCAGCACAATCTGTGATGGGATGTGGAGGAGAATACACTGGCCTCTTTTCTGTGGTGGCCAGTGACATGACTGAGGGAATGGCTTGAAGTTGTCAGGGGAGGTTTAGATTGGACATTAGGAAAAGAGTCCTCTTCCGGGGGGTGGTTGGGCACTGGAGCCAGTTCCTCAGCAAAGTGGTCACAGCACCTGAGCCTGACAGAGTTCAAGAAGTGCTTGGATGTGCTCTCAGGCGTGTGGTATAATTTTTGTGGTTATGCTGTGCAGAGCCAGGAGTTGATCTTTGTGGATCCCTTCCAGCTTAGGATATACTATAAATCTCGGCAGTTCTGTAAGAAGCAGGAGTTCCTCTGAATGGTCCTTATGGCTGTCATCCAACTGGAGATATTCTTTAGGAAATGAAAGTGCCTTTTTTTTTCTGAATTGTATTCTAATACTTCATGTTTGCCTTTTCCAGATTAAGTGGTGTATGAACTGTGTGTTTATGTATTTTTGCAGATTACAAAAGGTGTTGGGTTTGGATTCTCTGGATGAAGTGTTAGACACAAAACTTGTGAATTCGAAACATATAGTTCAAAATGTATATAATGTCAATAAGCAAGGCATTGTCACTTTAGAGGACAAATCAAGTGAGTATTTTAGAAATTTTCTTTTTTTTTTTAAATATTGCCATCTACTTTGTAAAGACTCTAGTTTTTACAATGCTACGTTTTTAAAATGCTGTTGCTCTCCTCTGGTATCCCAATAGTAAGAGTCAGGGTTTATTCTATATTTACTCTCTTAAAATCTGGCTTTAGTAGGGTTGAAAAATTAATGCAAGACAGCAAGCAACTCTTTATCATTTATAAATATAGGGATATTAATCACTTCAAGGTAATTTTCTCAGCCCTACCCTTTTAATTACCTGAACTGGAGTGTTTACATGAAGAAAAAAGGTATTAAAAATTGTGAGAGAGCCAAAATGTACATTGAGAGAGTTTTGAGTTTTCAGTCAAGGTTTTTTGAAGATAGCACCATGTTTAAAACTGTTCTGTGCATCAGGGGAAAAACAAAGCATCTTTACTGCTCTGATCTATCACGGTGTTATTGCCACCATGATTTTCATAAGATTTGTAGACAAATTTAAATATGACATTGAAACCTGGTTTGAGTGTGAATAAAACTGCCTTCAGAGCATATCTGTGCTCATTTCAAAGACAGTTGGACCATCTCAAAATATTAACTTCCTCCTTGCAGAAATGGCAAAACTGAATTTATGAGTGCTTTTCATCATATTTGGTACAAAGTGAACACTTCATTGTATAGCACTGGGGAAGGCTGTATCTAGAACTGGTTTTGTCTGGTTTTTTTGCTGATGGAGCTGCAAGAGCAGAATTTGTAACTGTATGATAGTAGTGGAGGTACTGAAGTATAGATGTAATTCAAGCTAGATCCTATATTAAGGTGTAGCCTGCCTTTGGAGTCACTTGATTTACTACACAGGAGAGGAACATATTAAATTGTTTTCAGCTTTGCTTTTGTCTAACAGTTGAATATTTTTCTTGGTTTTTCTTTATTGTCCTTTTTATTTTTTAATTTCTTTTTCTTTCCTGTGCAGAGGAACTACCTCATTGGATATTATCTGCAATGAAATGTCTAGTAAATTGTAAGTAAATTCAGAAGGGGAAAAAAATCCCACAAACAATCCCCTCCCCCCAAAAAATCTGAACTGACTGTGTCTTCACCACTTTATTAAATCCTGTTTATGATGCTTTTCTAAAAGAAGGTTGGAAAAGACCTGTCAGCATGTATTCTCCTTCAAGTGTAGCTTATTTAAATGGATTATATAAAGGTTTAACCATTCTATTAATGTTTTTCCTCTACTTTGTATCTTCACTAAACCTATTGGGAATAGATCAGTCAAGTAGTAGACCAATAAAATTTTACTTATTTTGAAGAATCATTTTTTTTTTCCTCTAATGATCCATTTTAATGGGCTGGATTAGAAAACACTGATCTGCTCAGCGGCTGAAAATCAATATTCTCTCTCTTTTTTGCTCCTTTTTGTTTTGGTTTATTTTTTTTTGTTCTTTGTAGGGCCCAGCTGTTCAGATCTGAAGCAGCCTACATACTCAGGCTTTGAAAGAGATGTCTTCAAAACTATAGTGGACTACTTTGGCCAGATGAAGGAACCTCTTCTCACATATAATTTTTTTGATATTTTTGTTAGTGTGTTAGGTAAGTAGTTTGGAATCTAATGAGAAAATATTCTTTAGAGTTAATTTTCTGGAGTTATTTTACGTTACTTAAATACTGTCACAGATGAATTCTTTACGACCTGTCCTTTCCAGTCTACATAGAGAACAGTTTAATATTTAAATTTATATCACACAGTGGTTTTATTTTTGTATCTTTTCAATCACATTAGTTCAAAAGTCTTTCATTGCATGTCTTTATAATATTAAAGGCCTCTGTTCATTGCTTAGCATCCAGCAGCTGGGTTTAAACAGATTTTTCTTTTTTTACAAGTGCTTAAATGTCTTAAAAACTCTCATAAGCTTTTAGAAATTGCTTGACTGACGTCTGGATTAGAAAGGATTAGGGCTTTAAGCACAGTTTTTAACCCTGGAAATATGATAGTTGAAGGAAATTGAAATACTATATTGCTGTAATTTAGAAATGACATTAACTAATGTAGTGTTTAAAAGAAGCAATGTTTTAGTTATTAACTAGAACTTTCCAGGGTTCACACTGTATTAAAATTGACAATTCTGATGCTATAGATGTCTAACTGAAAGAAAGTAAATAGGAAAATATTTGATTACATTTTATGTAATCAAATGTCAGAAAGAATAATTGATTTGAAAAGTAAACCCGTTTTGTAGTATATTAGTTTTTTGAGCTTCTTTCTGTGCAAACAACACTGTTTTTAGTAAACTATTGAGATGAGAAAGGAATCCAGAATGACACTTCTGTTTCTGGAATTGAGTGTATGTACTTTGTGAATTGTCAATCTTGCTTCATATGGAATATAATCCAATTTTCGGACTTCTTTTTCTTAGGCAACTCTTGTTGATATCTTTAAAACTTATTCTTCTGCTTTCATACTCTATTTCTGTTTGCTTTTCCGTCTTTCAGGTTTTACTACTTTAATTTCACAGTATTTTGTAAACTTAAAATCAGAAGAAAGATTTCATGCCAGTATGTATGTGGAAGCAATGAAAACTGTGCAATGTTTCAAGAAGTCACACATTAATTTTGTGGTATCTTTAAAAAAAAGTGTTGATATGGAATCATTCCTTACTCTTCTAAACATATGTGTTAATATGCTTGCCAAATCTTCCTTTGAAATTAGAAAAAGCTTTACTATGAAAAGTCCTCTCCTGGGGAGGAATAAGCAGAGTTAGGCACAGATTTAATGTCAGTAGGTGTGAGGCACGTGTTGATATTGTCACAGTTGTGGCTGATGCATAAGCACGTTTTCTTTCCCTCTGATTGTTACCACATACTTAACATTTTATGCAACATGGTTGCTGTATCTGTGCATGCCATTCAGTTGTGTGTAGTGCTGAGGTAATAAAAGAGCACAGGATGAAATAAAATGTAATTTTTTGTGTATTCTAATATTTCAAGTTATTGGTTATGGCTATCAATGTCTTTCGTGCATCAGAAGAAAATCTTCTAAAAACTTAAACAAGTCCTAGTAGTCCAATTCTAGTGATATCTTTCTAGTCTAATTTGGCAGTGGAGTTCTAAGGCAATCTTGAATGAGTAAGAGGGGAATTTTGGGAGTTACATTTAGAAATATGTTAAATGTTATGGAAATATATAACTGAGAAATGTTCCCTAACCTTCTGATCTCATATAAACCAGGACTGCTGCAAAAACCCAAAAAACCTGGCAAGGCTGTAGAAGCTCTTCAGATATCTTGTCTCCTGCTGCCACCAGAAAATAGGAAAAGACTACAGCTGTTGGTGAGAATGATGGCAAGAATTAGTCTAAACCAGGATTTGCCACGTCTTTCTGAATCAGTGAGGACCAGAACTTTGGTACGTATAAGTGTAAGGTAAAAGGTCTGGACAGACTTTCGGAGGAGCACAGGTTAAAGATTCTTACTGGAGAGTATGAACAAAATACAGTTTTCTTGTTTAAGGAGCTGCTTTGTCTGTCCCAGCTATTTGGAAAGCTAATCTGGATTTGAATAAAGTGGGATTTTATGGCAATTTGTGAGCACACAAATAACTTGGTCAGAATTTAGAGGTTTCCTTACCTTTCAAAGTCAAATCACTACTGATTTCACTAATGAGTAGAAAAAAAGCAACCCCCAAAAACAAACAAGCAAAATCAACCAAAAAAGAAAAGCAGATGAGGTCTTTGGTGTTCTTTATCACTGCAGACAGTGTGAATGAAAAAGACTGCCTGTTTCAGTCATAGCTAGAAATATGGAGCTGAACGTTCTCATTGACCTGTTTTCAGCCATTCAAAAAATTAAAATTCCATCTGTTTATTTCAGTAGTTGGTTTTTTTTCACTACACACAGAAATCTCTTAAAGTAAGCTCCAGTTTTTGCTGATTCTTTTTCTGTAGAAGCTTATGTAGTGATACCACTACACTGATGTTTCCAACAACACTTTATTACAAAGTTATTAAGCATAACTTAACTATTCTGACTAGCTAACAACATGTATTTATTTTGGTTAATTTAAAAGTCTTTGAAAATTAAGTGCGATGGAAAACTAAGCTGCAGAGCCATTCTTTCAAAATCCTATAGCAGCATGCACAAATCTAAATGTGCTCCACAGCAATTAAGTTTTTAGTGAACTCTGAATAGTATTTGATTAAAATAATTAAATTTTTTACTGCCAAGGTTATAATTTAATTAACTGTTAAGTGGTCTTTCATTAAAATTATTGTTGTGGTTGAAATGTTGTTTTTAGAAGTGAATCCTTACAATCTTTGAGTGTTTTGTACTAAGTTTTAATTCAGCAATGTAATGTATAGTGCATGACAGAAATATTTATTAACTTCTGTGATTTTAGTGTTCCAAGTGACTGGTGAGCAAACAGAAAATCCTGTTTGAGTGCTTGAGCATAAGACTACCTGAAGTTAATTGAACTTGAAACTTGATTTGATGATTTCAGAATAGTGGTTTCAAGTTTTCCCTCTGGTGACTAATTTCTATTAAATTTCCGTGTTATTTTAAAAAATGTCTAAATACATATGCCCTCTTTAAATAGCCCTGTGTAGTGGCTCTTTGACAAAGTCTTGAGAATAAAATGGAATTCATTTATTCCATATCTAAAGGCAGGAGTGGATTCTCTATGAGGCAGGAGCAATCTTTAGTGCACTCACATAATGTCCACTGTACATAATTCATTTTTTAAAACATTGATATGTTTGAAGTACAATAAGTATTGTAATATTAAAATCTTTGTTTTAAAAGATCACTTTTAAGATATAGCCTGATTCTCTACTCCTCACTCCCAAACAGAAAAATACATTATAATGGTGTGGGTTTTTTTTTCCTCAGATGGTTCAGGCGTTTTCCCGTTGTATTCTCTGCTCAAAGGATGAAATAGACTTGGATGAACTTCTTGCTGCTAAACTAGTATCTTTTCTCATGGATAATTATCAAGAGATCTTAAGTGTTCCTTCTGCTTTAAAATCTTCCATTGAGGATCATGTTGCACATCTCCAGAGAGTCCAAGTAAGTATCTAGTGAAAAAACCTCTTATGTCTCTGTTTCTAGATTGAATTTATCCTTTGTTCTGTGAAGATCAACAGTTCTTAAAAGACTTTTTTCTGTCTCTGTTAGCTTTTGAGAGTTATTTTGACTACTGACATTCAGCCATAACTATGTGTTTAAATGAAACTAAACAAATATTCAGTTTGTCTGGAGAAAAGAACTGTCAAATATGTTTTCCAAATATGTTTGGCAGCACTGTCTTCCCATGAAATGGGCAAACTATGTTTGTGGTAGTGAAGAAAATGGAATTATTATTAAGTGCTTTTTCATTAATGTAACTTTTTATTTTCTTTAGAGCGGTCCTTACTTTCTCAGTTTTTTCATCTTTATCTTTCTTGATACCATATTTTTTTTTTGTTCAAAGATGATTTTTAGTTCTTTTGTCTATTTTCTACTAGAAAAGTAACTTTTAAATGTATTTCAAGAGCTGAAAATGTTTCCTATGTGTTATGTTTTTTGACTTACTGGAACTCAATTAGGGCAGGAGATAAAAATTACAGTTTAGGGTGTCTATTCAGTATTTCCTGTACTTAATGTCTTGGGTTGATCAATTGATTAAGCCAATTTTTGCAAGTGTTTTGTTGAAAACATAGCTTTTTTTTTTTTTTTACTGTATCTTCAGATAAAATATGCTGGGGCTGATAGTGATGCAACACTTCCTCCTCCATCATTTTGTCACCAAATCACTACAGGTGAATTTGAATACCAAAGGGCAACTGGCTCTCAAGAACCACTGGCAGCTTTGTTGGAAGAAATTGTAATGAATAAAGAAATATCTGTGAAAGATAAAAAGAAGAAGCTCAAGCAAGTAAATAAAAATTTCTCCACAGTTTCTAATTTCAATTTCAAAAATTAATCAAGTCTTAGACATGTATTCTTCTAGAGAAATACTGAAATTTAAAACAGTGGTTACACATGGGAATTTCAAGATTTATAATAATTTAGAACAAGTATGCTGAGATGAATCAACCCAAATTGGAAATACAGCCTAATTTTCTATATAGCACTGTAGAAAGTCCATTAGAGATATAACTTCCCTGTTCCAGAAATGCAAGCTTCACTTTAATAGTTTATTGTACATGTTTGAACAAATTCTTAATTTGAATTAATGTACTTTTCTAGTTTCAGAAATCTTACCCTGAAGTGTACAGAGTACGATTTCCTAGTCCTGAAACCGAAGCGATGCTATTTCCTGAAAAAACTAAACAGAAACCACCAATACTGATGTGGGCCTTAAAAAAGCCTTTTCAACCATTTCACAGAACCAGAAGCTTTCGGATGTAAATGGTTTGAAATATATCCGCAAACAAACAGAGACACAGTGTACTGTCAATGGATCTCATGCAAAAGGAGCCTGAGCACCACGTGGTTACTCAAAAAAGCTACTGGGGATACTGCTAAGATCATAGAAAATGTTTAAAGAAGAGGAGAGTATTGAGGTTGTAGTAATGTGAACCGTTATCAGTATTTTTGTAAAGCATTATTTTTTAAAATGTCTGTTACTTTAAAACAAGCAACAAAAAACTAACAAAAAAACCTAAACAAACAAACCCACCACACACTCAAGGGGATTATTCTATATATGGGTGATAATGTACACCTGCTGTGGTTTGGTTTGACTATCATTTTAAGGCCTAAATGTAATTGTATGTAATGTATTCTTTGTAACTAGTCAACAGCTTTTTTTCCTCCCTGAAAATGAGTGTCTTGCATAAACTAGGCTGTATTTGTGCACATATACTGTGAGGAATTAACTTACTGTACATGCTTGAGTAAGTATGAAACACTGGATTTTGCTTTGCTTTTGGTGAGAGAATAACATTAAAACTTAATGATGCAACCAATCAGCTGTTTGCACCCCTCAGCCACAGAGGAAGGGGAGTTTTTTTGGGTATGTGTTTATGCAACTTCTAGGTCTGCCCAGGTGCAGAGAGGATGAGCACCCATCACCAGAGGATGACCAGGACAAACCCACTTTGTGTAGCAGCAAGCTGGGATTTGAGACAGATAAGGGAAAACACTTCCAAGAACCAGATCCTGCAATGGGGGATGCTGTTTTTAATCATGCCCATTTCCTCCCTTACACAACTGGCTCAGGTAGAAGATTCTCTCCCATCCTGACAGAGATTCAGGGCCTGAGGGTATTTATCCCTTCTGTTAAGGCAGAACTGGCTCAACTAAGCTGGCATGACAAACACGGGTCTTGTCTTTGGCTCCTGACTTACTTCTCGGGCCCGCCACCAGAGGACTGCACATGATCCACAGTGTTACAAGAGACATTGTAAAACTCCTTCCTGAGGAGAAGTATCTGGGCATTCTCACCGGAACCTATTAAAGCCATTGGACTTTGGGTTTCAGGGATTTCCACTGGCCCTGATGGGTTGAAAATGTAACTTCAAGCACTGGACATTAAATTGCAACAATCAGGTCTCATGGGGTGGTGATGTCTTTCCTCTTCACTATCTGTTCTTATACTTTCTTTTTATTTTCCTTGTATATTTTCTCAGGTGTAATCATTTTACTTTTATTTTACTCTATTTCTATAGATAATAACTAAGTCTGCTACATACTTCCTTTCCATTTTAACCAAATTATTCCAAAATCATCCATCTATCTATCTATCTATCTATCTATCTATCTTTTTATTTATAAAAACCCCACCATTAATTCAGTGTTGTGTCACTCTAGTCTGCCGTGAGGGATGTATTAACAAGAACCTCAGTTAACCTGGCTCAGGGGCAGGTTGTAACATTGCTGACCCTAACATGCCCGATTTATTTTTGAAAACTAATTCTCAATTTTCTAATTCATATGGTGCATTACAGCTTGAGTGAACTTCCTTTGAAATTCCATTAACTTTATGTAATGCTGACCTATTCTGATAGGCAACACAGCCTTTTTCCCCTATTTTCTTACTGCATATTTTACAAAGCTGGGTGCTTGACAATAGAATATACTTTATCAGAAAATTTTAAAGCCCTGAGGTTCCTCTAAAAATGGAATTAAAATATTGAGGTGGCATTGCAGCATACATGCATTTATTGATTTGATTAATTTTGCATTATGAAATCTAGTGTGCCTATAACCTGACTGTACATATTACGTAGTTGATTCTGAGACCACTTTTCTATCTATTAAAGCATTGCTCTTTTCCTCTATATACCTAGAGTCGTGATTTCATGCTATTCATTAGAGATTTGAAAAATAGCATTTCATAGCATATTGAATGTCAGGGTAGTTTATGCTGGAGAGAAGACAGGTGACATCTCAACATATTTCTGAAATTTTAGTAGAAAATGTAATGCAATATTGACAGCATTTGTACTTTGCTAACTTCCTAACCAGTCATTGAGTTTCATAATGTACATTACAAGATGGTTACTTTAATAGATTGGGTTATTTCTTGGGCAGTGTGATATTGAACAGTACATATTTTCATGTACTTATGTTCTCACAGAGATACTTGGACTTCATATGAATAATCTTAAGCAAATTTGATACAGAAAAATACATTTTCAAGTATTAAGAAAATATAAAAATTACTTTTAAAAATGGTCTGAGGCTATTTCTAACCTTTTGTGCTAGGTCTTCAAGGGTGAGAAAATCTTCGATGTATTAGTATTCTCTGTATGTTTACGTGCTGTCAAACTTTGACTGTAACTAGACTACTCACATATATTTTGTTACTTCACTAATCCATGAAGTATAATAATGAGTAAGGCTGGTTGGAAGCAAGTCTTGCATAAAAGAGGAAGCCCATCCTAAGGCATCTCGGCTATCACTTCCTAAATTACAGAGGAGAAGTTGAAGCCAATCTATCTGCTCTTTGAAATAATCTTACTGCCTGCCAATAAGGCTTCTGCTGTCCTCTTGAAATTTTCCTTATTATCCCTTAAAAAAATATGTAGCCTTTCTGAGTCTATTTTAAACAGAAATTAAGGTTTACTAATTAGTTTTCATGATGAGAAGTTGAAGATAAGACATATGTTTTTATGACTTGATCATTCTTTTGTTTCAGAGATCCTTGACTGTGATAAAAAACCCAAAAAAGTCAGTTTGCTCACAATTTCCAAGGCTGTGAAAAATACAAAATATCTTTGAAAAACTTGAAGGAACTATAGGGAGAAAATTTTATTTGAGATCATAATCTCACAGACTGAATTTTAACTGTGCTCCTCTCTTGGGAGACACTTTAGAGAAGTTAAGTGAGAATGGCTCCTTATTACAGCTGAACCAAGTGCAAATATGCAAGATGAATAGGGTAGGAACACAAAAGTAAGGTTAGCTAGGTAAATTTGCCTATTCCTTTCAGGGTGCAAGTTAGAAAAAGTAAGCTTGAAACCTAATTCAGGGAAGACTGTAAGCTTGGTAAAATATCTCAGAAAAAAACAGAGATTCTGTAACCCTAAACGGTAGGCAATAGAAACTTCACTTTTGATATTAACTTTCTCAGGAATTTAGCATTTACTTCTGTGTTAAAGCCCTGCAATGCCTTGATATTGCCAAGACTGAACATCATGGTCCCCTGGGCTTATTTCCCTTGAACCATGAAGCCCACAAGCCAAACTTTGTTTTGCTTCTACTAGTGACTGTTCTGAAGATCCTCACTAAATGGAGGACAAGCTGATATTTTTTTTAAAGCACATCAGGAAGACTCAATAAAGGCAGATGTTGCTGCTTTTTTGGTCTGGTTAAACCTATGTTTGTCATCTAAGTGGAGTATGTGGTGAAGTCTTGCATGTAAGTAGGAGCTAATTCTCCTTAAATTTGGATAATATTTGACTTTGTATTACTGAAACTTCTAGTGTAATGCCACTAGTTGTCAAGGTAGTATTAGGCATTTTGAGCAAGATCTTTCAGCAGAAACATTGTATGGGAGTGTTTTTTTCTCTTTTGGGTTTTTTTTTGGTTTGTTGTTTGTTTTGGTTTGGTTTTTGTGGTTTTTTTTTTTTTGATTGGTTGGTTGGTTTTGTTTTGTTTTGTTTTTTTTTTTTTGCTGTGTTCTTTGCCTCCTGCAGAGCAATCTTTTTTTCCCTCACCCTCTACTCCACCTTGAGCATAACATCTCTCCTGACCTACTGGTTGTTAATGACACATCTGTGACAGTTTTGCTCCAGCACTTATCAGAGGAAATAATGGTATTTATCTTCCTTTCTTGAGAGGTGAGCCAAGTCTTTGCTTAACATTGCTCTTTCTCCTTATACAAACACAGCTTGTTGCAGCTCCTAAATTAACAATCAGCCATCTGCAAAACCCTTTAGTCTAGCCCTGTGCTTTTGATTGAGTAATAGCTGCCATTCTTATTTGCTTATATGTAAGGATTATTTAATCACTCATATTTTATGAGAGATCTCTTTAACTCCTCATTGATGTGCCAGGATTGTGATATCAGCTGTTTACACTCATGACTACAGAGAATGATTGATGACTAATGTTCTAATGTTATTTTCTGAAATTATTTTCAGATGTTACTTCATATCACAGGAAGATTAGGCAAAATCTATGTGATCTTGCCTTCATGTTCTGCTAAATGGAAGCAGGAACTAAAGTGAAGTAGACAGTGTGTTAATATACCACATTATTTAATTTGTTGTGGCGATATGTCATAGCCTTTTTTGCCCTCTTTTATATGAAGATGTTTTACATTGTAAGAGCATCTCCTTTACAGAGTCTGTGCTAACTCAAATAACTGGCTTCATTTCTTCACAATTTTTAGGGTTTCCTATTGCCTGAGAGCCTAGGATTCTAGCTCTAGAAAACCTTATTAGATTTAAAATCCATTAACTCACAGATACAACTCTGTAGGTATTTTATTGCTTTGGAACTTTTGGTGTACTTTATAATAGCTCTCATGCATTAACACTACTATTTTCATGAATTCATTAGTCTTGAGGCAGAAGTGGGAGGAGAGAAGCTTTTCAGAAAAATAAAGTTTATGGAATGGGTTTTACTGCAAATCCATTTCCAAAGATTTGCAAATCTTTGGAAATAAATTTGCAGTATGATATTTTTTAACCAGCATCTCCTGTATTAGATGTCAGATTATTAGATGTCTGTAGAATCTCAGATTATAGAATAGTTGTGCATCTAGGACATCTTCTCTTTCCATATAAATCATGTTTTTGCAGTGAGTGTTGCATTCTACTGACTAAAAGGAATTGACTGATTTACTAAATATAATTGTATAAAATTATGTGACATAACTTCCTTTACATGAGTTCTTGTTTGTGGGTTTAACTCACACTTAATATTGCCAACCTAATTAAATAACAAAGAGAAGATGTAGTATGTGTTTAAAAAGTAGGAAGCTGGTACATGTTTGTGAAGTCCTTTTTAAAAGTAATTAAAAGAGGCAGGATATTTAAAAAGTGTTCATTCCAGACAACAGTTTTCAATTTCATTACTTTTTTTTAACTTTTGATGTCTGAAGCTGAACAAAATCTCTTGATTGTCCTGACAAAGTTGGAATAATAGCAGAACAGTGTCAAATACGCCATTTTTCAAAACAATAATTGAGAATGAACCTAATAGCCAATAGTAAATGAGTCTGATGGCAAAGCTGGGCAATAAGGAGAAAAAATGATTCAGAATTTTTGTGGGAAAACATAAAGTGCAATAGTAGAGCTAAAGTCTATTAAATGCATTGTTTTAATTGTTTATAAAGAACATACTCTTGTGTGAAAAACTTGCTTTCCTTAGCAATAGAGCTTGCACTTTTATAATGTTTGTTGGATTTTGCTGAAAAATTTAATGAAGATGGGTTATTTATATAGAAAATTTAGGTAAATTAACAACACTTAGCTCTTGTCTGGCTTTTTATGAATTCCCTGGAAGAACTGATGGAGCCAACAATATGGTCAAATATTGTGGATACAATAAGCTCATTATAGCATTTCATTTAGTAGCATCTGATAAAATTATTCCTGGATAATAAGTCAGTAAGTGTTTAATGATTAAGCACTGCCTAAATGTACAGATAAGGATAATGTTGGAGAGATGCCCTATGGGTTTTTGCATCAAATCAATATATTTTCCTATCAGTTGGTTCTCTTTGTGGACGTGAAAATAAAAATCTGTTAGCATCGTTAGCTAATCGTATGATGTTTTCAGACTGTTCAGTAACGAGAGAGGCATTAATATGGAACAGCGCAGATTGAAAATAAATTCTAACATGGTCACTTCTAACTTAAATGTCTCACAAAAAGATATGTAGGTCATGTAAGAAAGCAAAAAAAAGGAATGAAAAACTGTGCTCTGGAAAATCACAGATCTGTAAAAAGTTTCTTTTACAGTCAACAACGCTTCCTGACATAATGCTGAGGCAAAGGGTCTAATGTGGTTTTTGACAGCCTGAATTGGAGATTGTTATATAAAATCAGATGACTCATCTCATGGGACCTCTACACTCAGTACTGTCTGACATTAGAGAATTGCATTTTTTTCAGCTTTTATAAAACTGTAGATTATGCAAGGTATTTGGAACTATTTCCTTCAATTGAGAATTCACATTACATCAGTCTTTCCCGTTTATCAAAAAAACCCCAGAATCACAGATAATTTCTTGAACTCTGTCAACCTTCTTCAGGAGTTCAGTTGATTATCTTGTGGGGTACATTA